TTAAGGCTGGTATACACGGTAAGGAAATCCTTTGAGGATTAACCGTGATTTTTTTTTCTATCTATCCATTTTTAAATAAAAATAATTCTTTATACGCTGGGAGATATTTTAATAAGTTTTGTAAATTACTATGTTCGATCCAGCCAGTTATATCCGAGTTTTTTTCGTCTGTTAAGCACATCCTTTGAGGATTTCCTTACCGTGTATACCAGCCTTAACGGTGCATTCCGATCAACTAACTGTCAACTTTCCCACCATAATGTGAAAACAATCGGTGACCTCCGATATACTTCTCACCAAGAGTGTTTTTTTTTTTTTCATCGGAGTTGTTTACAAAAATTTTTCGGACATCGGCGTAAAAATCGCGGATTTCACACCATTAACCGCTTTCTTTAAAATTATACTTTCGAGTATAATTTTAACATTTAAATTTAGATTGCTCTCTCTCTTTTTGACATGGGTTTCCCGACAATAAAAATTTTTCCATGTAACAAAGAGTATTGGTTGACGCGTTACATGTGCAATCTGCACTACAGACACGATTTACAATCGTGACGAGTTGTTGAGGCTGTTGACCTACTGTCACAATTTTTTTGTTGATGATTCACCATTTGTTGACAGTTCAGAAATTCTACATCCGTTTAAAGTCATTCGATGTAGGTAAGTTGTGTGATGCTAGTAGACTGTGTTGTGGACGTTGAATCGGCATCAGTCTTTTCTGAAGCACAAAGTTCACTTTCACTGTTTGCAACAAAAATCAGTTTGTTTCTATTCTTGTTGAACAGAGTGAGAGGTATATGTGTTACAAAATTGTCGTAACTAATTTCTCTATCTCTCTCTCTCTCTCTCTCTCTCTATTTTCTAATCTAATTAGGGGAAATGTCCTATCACTAATCCTAAACCTTATAAAATCTGGATTGAAACTTAGCCTTGTCAATGTATTCTATAATTTCAGTTAGGAGATCGCTTTGAAGATGGACAGTCTGGCGGACTGACGATTTCTATGTCAGAGTGATGACGGATTTCAGGTTTCTGTAGGTGTATAGGAAGCGTAGCCTCTCGTTTCGCTACTCTTTTTCTTTTAACCTTTCGATGCATTGTCATTTTTTCTTTTCTTTCCAAGATTCTTCTTTTTCTTTCTTTGTGGGAAGGGGTTGGATTTGCGGGTCGGACGATTTGAATTCTATTCTCACCGGAAGTTGATGTAGACTCTTTCGGTAGGTCACCTTGACCTCGATTTTGCTTTTGTCTTCGTCTTTTCCTATTTTTGTAAGGTTGTGCGCTTTCATTTTCGCACATTTGAGACATACGATTGACCTTGATGCATAAGTCGTATGACCATTTTTTTAGCCGTAGTGTCGAGTTTTCGTCTTTTCAGCTTCTGTCGAGGTTTACAGCTTGAGCAACAATTTTGTCATTCGGTAACATTATTTTCTCGTTTGCATCATCGATAATGAAGCTTCTTCTTTTATTATATCTCGTCCGATGATCCCTTCACAAGGAGCGGTAATTTCCGATCGGACAATTCTGCACGATCTGGAAAACTTGTATCCTCTAAATTTGAAAATAGGTACAGTCATGCCTATGGTTGAGATGGATTCTCCATTCAGTCCTACCATCTTCCTTTGTTGTCCAAATTTTACCGGGGTTTTT